AATCATGTGAAAACTTGCAGATGTTATTTTTTTCACAAAAAGTTAACATTCTGAAAGTTTGAAGAAATTTCAATACAATTTACTTACCCCTCTCGATTTTTTCAATTACCTATGCTTCTAAATAAATTTAAAAATTGACAAATGACGTCGGCCACCATCAAAATGATCGTTTTTAGATTAAAATCATGACTTTTTTCAATTTCAAATACCTTTATTATGTAAATACAAAAGTTACATATTTGAAAAGTGGACAAAAGTAAAACTGTATTATTGAAAGTGAACTGAAATTTATTATCTATTCATTTATAGTCAAATTTTTGTGTACAGTTGAAGCAACTAGAGTAAATGTATACATCGTTTTGGCAGATTAACAATTGTTAAATGGAACAAAAACAAAACTGATAAAAGAATCATCAGCCAACTTATTGATTATTGATTTCAAAAATGAAATTTGGCAAATAAAACGCAAAAAAAATTATGAACTTAAAATGGTTTTGGATTATTTTCATTGCGTGGAGTGCAATGAATCATAACTTTAATGGCTCCATCACGATTATAGCGTGCTGTATCAAACGCTTCTTTCGTTTCACTAATATCAAAATGATGTGTTATTAATTTTTTGACATCGATTTTACCGTTTGACACCATTTCCAATGCATATTGATATTCGTTACAATACCTAAATACGCCAATAATATCAACCTCGCGAGTCGAACCGGCAATTAAAGGTACAGTAACCTCTGGTGGTCCATTACCAACAATAACCACACAACCACCGGATTTTGTGGCTTTTATGCCCAATCGAGTGCTTGCTTGTCGTCCGTTGCAATCGATTGATATATCTGGTGCGCAACCGAGTTTCTCATGCACTTTTTTTACTAAATCATCTTCATGCTCATCGTTTTTCACAAGTAATGTATGTGCAGCACCCAATTCTTTGGCCAATTTCAGCCGATCCGCAATAATATCAGTGATGATGATATTTTCGGCTGACATTGATTTGGCCGCAATTAACGCTGATAATCCAATTGGACCTGCGCCAAGAATTAGCACATTTTTACCAAATCCCACATTTCCACGGCGACAAGCATGAATACCAACGGACAATGGTTCCATTAATGCACCCTCTTCCATACTGACATGGCCGGGAAGCTTATAACAAAAATCGGCCGCATGTGCATAGTATCGTGTAAGATTTCCGTCGTGCGGTGGTGTTGCACAGAAAATAACATGCGCACACAAATTATAACGACCTTCTTTGCAATCGCTACAATAACGACACGGTACACCTGGTTCGATTGCCACTCGATCACCAACTTTTAAATTTGTCACCGATTTGCCGATTTTATGTACCACACCGGACGATTCATGACCAATGATCATTGGATTTTTTACAATAAAATCACCGATACGACCATCGACCAAGTAATGAACATCGGAACCACAAATTCCAACGGAATCCATTCGTAATAACACTTGGTCGTCAGCAATTTCGGGCAATGGACGCTGCTCCTGATTGGGTTGAAGAAATTTGGAAAGATGAATTTGAACATTTGAATGATTCAATTTGGGGAGAACAAAATCTTCTTACCAATCGAAGATCTTCGATTCCATACAATACTGCTGTTAAATTATCAACCGACATATTTCAATGTAAAACTTTTATTTTAAATTTTATTTTTTTCTTGTGGTGTCTTAACGGACGATTTCTGCTAAAAATTGGCCTTTTTGACACGGTGAAAGTAGAAAAGGCTTTAGAGTATTGCAACAGATTATTGCTTATTTTATACACAAAATTTCGAAACTTCTGCAATCAAAGCGAATAAGAGATAAAAACGTTCAACCCGTATGGAAAAAAATTGACTGACTAAATAGCTAAAATCAACTGAAAATGAATTTTGTTAACTAAAACAATCTAGCCACTCGACTTTCTGATTTTAAACAGGCGACTATTTTGGGACGTTTTTGGCTATAGCCAACTGTGATTAAAGTTGATTTGCTTAATTTTTCACTCGATTCCAGTAAAGAAAAATTCAACTTGATTAAACCAAAAACGTCCCAAATTAATTAACTGAGCCAGTAATTTTTCACACGGCAAATGTTAATTTTGTGTTGTCAGTAAACAAAATTGATGATCGAGCTATCTGTGTAAATATTGAGGGGCGGAGAGTGAATAAATCGATTTATTTCATTGCTTCTCGTCAATCTTATCTATCATGGAATGTTATCAACGAATGCCCTTCATAAAAAGTCGGTCAACGCCAATCGCTTTTGTGTTTTTTTTTTTTTTTTAATTTTTAACGCGACATTGAAATGATCGATTCATTACAACATGTATAAGTCTCTCATACAGTAAGACTTCGTAGATCGGTATTTATTGAAAATGTTCTATTTCCACCTTCTTTGACTATCAAATACAGAGCTAAGCGATTGGTGTTTTTTCTTAATTTATTTGCTGTTATTGTTTTGATTTAGTCTGAATGTGATTCTGCTTATCAGGCCGACTTTGACTTGAATGCAGATTGCACAAAAACTTGTCTAAGCGTTATATGAGCTAGAAAAGATAGTAGAAAAGATCTATGACATTTTCGTATTTCAGCGATTCTTTAGAAAATTCGAAAAAGATGTGTTCAAATGAAATTTGCAGTGATTGAAATCCGTCGTTTCATCCTCAAATTCAAAGATGATCGTCAAAATAAATATTCTGCTCGGAATTTTCAGTGTATTTCCACTGATAATATATAGTGAAAACAGTGCAAAATGTTACAATGAATATTGTGGAACTCCAATGGGTTTAATAATTCTTCCGATTTTTCCGTATTCAGCATCGTGCGGAAATGATTACGTTATACACCAGAGTAAGTGTCCATTGAAGAGTCAATATTGCTGTCCAGTTATTCCCCACGATGACGGTGTTATATTATGCAAAGACAGTTATTATAAAGGCGATTGTAAATCATATTTTATGCATGGAAAACATTGTGTAAATGTAGATGAGGATGACAAAAATGCCATAAGTTCAGTAAATACGCTCGGTAATTGCGTTCGGCTCTACGATGATGCCAATTGTTTGGGGAAATCGCGTCCATTATATCCGGGAAGTCCGCGTCACAATGATTTATTGCAATTGAAATTCAACGACATAACAAGTTCGTTCGGAAAATGTTATGATAATGATAATAATTGCGATTCGCAAGTGGATGGAACAAACGATTGTACATTCACCATTGGCATTCTACCATGGGCTTTGAAAGATCGAAACAATTTACCAAGTCCGATTATTCTCTTTCAAACCGGACCATATGATCGAGCGGAAGTAATGGAAGCGCAGATTGAAGCGAAACATTTGAACACGGGCACTGCCGCAAGTCAAAATGCATACAAGTATGCCAAACAAATGGGAAATATTGACGATAACGCTGGACATATTCTGTCAACGCGACTCGGTGGCTCGGGTACGGATTTGAGAAATATATTTCCACAGAGCCGACTTTTCAACCACAACATTTGGTCCCAAATTGTTAATTTTGTAGCAGATACTGTGGAAAGACATGGCGGAGCACATTTTACAGTGAATTTGTTGTATGACGGTATTAGGGATACAAGACCGTATAAAATCGTTTATAGAGTTAAGTCGGAAAATTCAACTGATGTATTGTTTGTAAATGACTTACTTAATCCATAACTGTAGTGAAGAGAGCTTTTTTGGTTTGATAGAAACCTAGTTTATATCGAAAATAGTGAATTTTATAAATGTTTTGGAGATGATCAATAAAATTTTTTGGAAATTATTTGAAGAGCTTTCAAGTTGATGTTTTTTTTTATTTCAGTTGTTGTTATATATATTTCAGGCATGTTTCTATTGCAAATCTAAAGGATCATTCGAAAAACCCGCGGTTTTTTATTTTACAGCAATTTTACTTAGTTTTTACGGAGAAGAATGGCTGTGAATGAGGCTTTACTTCAATGGTTTTTTTTTGTAAAATTTCTGCGGTTCAATGGTAACGATAAAGGGCAATCAAACAAATTGAACCTTGCAATGCTGCTCTCTGGCATTTATAAGTTCGTCCCTATGTCGGCTTCCCTTCATTCTTCAGATTTGTCATTTTTCTTGCATGTAGCAGCTTAACTTTGAGATACCAGGTGGCAGCACATCTGCATATTCGAAACCCATTACATTGCCTCAAATGGAGCGCGAAAGAGTCGTTACATTGCCGTTAATTAATCGGCTTGGCTCAAAATAAAACTAAGTCAAAGTCTTAAACTTTGCCGGAGATGCTTCTTGACTAACGCTCATCAGATCAGTCACATCGAAAGACTCAACCAAACATAATCATCACTAATGATTC